ATTTTTGGGGGTTACTCCACATCAGGTATCTCTTGTGCTGTGCTGTATATTGCAAGATCAGCAGTAACAACGGTATGATTTTGTCCCAAAGATTCAGGCTTGTTTTTTGATTTCACTAGACGATGGTTAGGATGGTATTGTAGCTCGCTGGTGGAGAATTCAAAAACGGCATAGGTATATTATTTTGAATGGTAGATACCGGAACTTACTTAGGAGGATTATCAGCAGGTACTTAGGCTGTTAAAGTCAGTTATCTGGTCGTTATCTAGTGATAGGTAAACCTGGTGGTCAATCATTTCTAGACATGCCGTCTGCATGATCTCGAATTTAAACTTAACTTAAATAATTTAAATATGTAGTCATCTCAATAGTTTCAAAACTTTTATGAGTTTATTTTTCCCCCCGGTTCTTTTGAAATGTGTTAAATTCAACTTTCAACTTTTAATGTAATAATTCAACCCTCCGGTTGGTTGTCTTAAGTCTTAACAAGGCTTGATAATAATTCGTTTTGAAACTTAGGACAACCTTTCCGGTTTAACCACCCTTCAGGTTTTTTCACTTGGCTTCGGCCAGTTAATAATTAAAAAACAACATGTTCGTCTTATTCGTCTTCAACGTTTGTAACTTACCGTTTTCCTGTTAAATTTCACATCGCCTGATGATGGCAGTACGCCGAAGCTATAGTCGCTTTTATTTTTAAAAACTTCAACGAATAAAAACTATATGAGGAAGGTTTAGAGAGTTTTGATCACACAATATATTTCAACCCCCATTTCGAGGAACGATGGATCCAAACACCAAAAAAAAAAATCCATGTATTCGTTTAGGAGCCACCCTCAAAAAAGTGGTAAAGTTTCTTTTTTTCTCAGCAACAGTTACAGAGACTGGTGGTAAGTCTTTGAATAGGTTTTGCTGTATGCCCTTTCCGGTTTTGCAAATAATTTTTCAAAATTCCTACCGCAAAAGGACACACCCCTCAATAGGGGTGCGAAAAAATGTTGATTTCGACGAAATTTGGTATCTGGTGGTTTTTGAATCTGAAATTAGTTTTTGAAAATTCGAAAAAAATAATTCCACTGCAATTCTTGGCCGGACAACGAAAATTGACAAAATTCCACGAAGTTTGTTGTCTAGGTACATACTTACGGAACAAAATTATTGAACAGTTTTTTTAAGGTCATTTTTCAAACAAAAGTTACACTCATTTGCAAATTGGTCTTTCGGGTCAGAAAATGTTCTCCGACAGTGGCATAACAAGTACAGTAAACGTCAATATTACATGTTCTGCTAAGGGTGTCTACCTACATTTCACAAAAATTTGTCAAATAAAAAATGATAATTTTATCACAGCGAGCAACTTCGACATCAATGAGGAAACAGTCACAGAATAAGAATAAGTAGGCCATATTCTGTGGAAACAGACGAAAAAAATTCAACGCACAGTCTTTTTTCAAAAGCGAGATACATCGACAGAAGAAATCCAAATTCCTCGTTTACCTATCACTAGATAACGACCAGATAACTGACTTTAACAGCCTAAGTACCTGCTGATAATCCTCCTAAGTAAGTTCCGGTATCTACCATTCAATATAATATACCTATGCCGTTTTTGAATTCTCCACCAGCGAGCTACAATACCATCCTAACCATCGAACTTGCCTTACATGGAAAAAATTTAAAAAGAAATTGTACGATTATCTAGTCAATGGGTGTTTCTACAACATACAAGAATTTTTTATATCTTCCAATATTTAATTGTTTGTTTGTTTCGTTCGTTTGTTTAATTAATGTTATATTGACTTGTTCCATACAAATGTTATTTGTCGAAGGAATTAAATAAAAATGAATGAATGAATGAATGAATCGTCTAGTGAAATCAAAAAACAAGCCTGAATCTTTGGGACAAGATCATACCGTTGTCACTGCTGATCTTGCAATATACAGCACAGCACAAGAGATAGCTGATGTGGAGTAACCCCCAAAATTTACAGGGAAAGGTACCGATTTGTACCTATATATTTCACCAAAGAACTGAGATACATGGAGTTAATGAATTGTTTGAGATTTTACAATGCAACTCGGCGGAATGCATTTATAAACTAAACGGCCTAAATAGCTAGTTTTGGTATTCGGAGAGAAATTTCTTAGTAAAGTAAAATCTCTTACGCATCGCTCCTTGTTTAGCGAACGCTGCTGACTATCCTTCCCTCTCCGTCTCACTCGCGATTACCGGCTCGGCGAGGTCGGTAGGTTTTTACTTAAATGACCGTAACTTTTTTATTATGAAAAATTCACGGTAATGTTATAGAAAATAAAATAATCACAATGCTTTGGAGCATCGAATGAGCTATAAATATTGGAAATCGATATCGTGAAATAAAAAGTTTATGAGAGTTCAAAGTGCGCACTTTTCATCTGCTACACGAATTTTGGAAGTTGACGGTCATTTTTCTAAAAACTGTGCATAACAAGGTAGGTAAATTGAATGCTTTAGATTCTGCTATAAATGTACTTTCATTTTACAAAAGGAATTATTGATGTATATCGCTTAGTTGCTGAGAAAATAAATACTTTCGGTGGTCTAGTCGCGCGCGCGAAAATGAGTAAATTTCAACTTTAGCGGCCTATAACTTTTGTCAGGACCACGGGAAAATGTCGTAAAGCGAGATTCTGAAGGTTCAAACATTTCTGAACAAAATGGTGTGGGTCCCAATTCTTTCTACTCCGAAAAAATTTTTTGAACGATTTCGCGGCTCTCTCCGCTGCACTAATAGTTATTGTCCCAGTAGTAGGCCATGTTAGGGTGATGAAATTCACTGTATATATGTGCTGTCACTCATTAGATTATGTCCTTAAATGTCCATTTTATACAAAATGATAATTTCCTGTCAATGTGCAAAACCTAGTTGCCAGATTTAGTTTTGGATTTTGTGGTAATTTTGTTATAGGTTAATACGTATAAATTTCATGATAAACCACTTGCTCAATACGTTTCATACTTTATTGAGTAGACAAATGGCTCTAATCAACATTATTAATTTCAAAAGGCTGTTATATATGAACTTATTTACAATTTTAATAATAATAATAATAATAATATATTAGATTAAAAGGAGATACACCAATTAATCAAGTCAGTCATAGAGCTTGCAATGAATAACATATTCTTCTAGTGAATAAGGGGTACAATCAATGAGCAAACGTCTCACAGCTTTTTTAAATAAATGATACGATGTCATCGTTTTGATGTTAGAGGGTAAAACATTGAATAAAGTAGTACCTTTATACAGAACACCTTTTTGATATAAGGCACTACTATGTTTTTGAACCTTAAGTAAACAGTTTCGTAAAGGGTATTTGTGATTTGCAACGTCGGTTGTAAAGTAACATCGATTACAGTATACGAAGCAGAGGATTGTATACACATAAATACCATACAAGGTCAGCATACCTTGTTCTTTGAAAATTGGTTTGCAACTGTCTCGGTACATTGCATTGTATATAATTCTAATCGCTCTTTTTTGTAATAAAAATATTCTGGCTAACTGATTGATTCCACTACCTCCCCAGAACATAATTCCGTATTTAAGAGTGGAATAAAAATATCCATAGTACATATTTTTTAGTATGTCTGTGCTACAATGCGATGAAGCTACTTTGAGTGCATAACATAGTTTAGATAACTTAGAACAAAGGAAGTCGATCTGTGTAGACCAATTTAACAATTGATCAAAATACAAACCTAATAATTTGCAATTATCAGTTGCGTTGACAAGTAACTCGTTAAGCGGTAGTGCTTCTATGGAACCGATTTTAGAACGTAGAGATCGAAACAGTATAAAAGCTGTTTTCTCTTTATTGACCTTAAGTCCGTTTAATTCTGCCCAGTCTAAAATTGTTTTGTATAATGCACATAGTTTATGTCTAATATGTTCTATAGTAGTACCTGTAACTAGGAAGTTAGAGTCGTCAGCATAAGATACAATGGTGGTGTTGTTATCAACCTTTTTAACATAATTATGAAGGTCATTTATGAAAATTAAAAACAAGGTGGGACCAAGTATAGAACCTTGTGGTACTCCACTGTTGATAGGAGATTCATCTGAATATATTTGCACACCTTCTTTGGTATGCACAACCTTTTGAGACCTACATGACAAATACGAAGCATACCAGTTTATAGATACACCTCGTATACCATAATTATAAAGTTTCGACAGCAGCAAGTCGTGATTTACGAAGAGCCCGGCTGTTAGTAAAAATTACAAAAGCTGTGTCTACTGAGCGACCTTTAAGGTATGCATGTTGGCTAGTCGCGAACAATTTATATTTGTTAAAGAAATTGATTAACTTCTCGTTCATTGAGCGCTCTAAAACCTTAGAAAGAGCAGATAATAAACTAATCGGTCGATAATTTCCCAACGTGTTTGGATCTCCCTTTTTAAAGAGTGACACTACAGTAGCCTTTTTTAGTTCTGACGGAAATCTGCCAGTTGAAAACGAAAGATTAATAATGTGGACAACAGGTTTGATGATTGTAGTAATAATCTTTTTTAATAAAAAATTAGAAATATGATCATCACTAGTAGAGTGACTGTTATTCAACTTTTTAACAGCCTGCAACAATTATATGCTTAGTAATAGCAGGTTGCTGGTGGTGGTCTTTATGAACTAAACACTTCCACATTCAAATGCCGATATGCTGGTCTAAACTTCGAGCAGCTTTAGTCTGGGGCTGGATCAGCTTTGAGAGATGTGTGGTGTAGATTCTCAGAAGATAACCACAGCTCGATAAGTCAGTTATACCATCATACCTGAGATGCCCTCAACGACCGCATTCATACCTAACTGCGCTTGAGTGTAGTTCTTGCTTCCACGGTGCCATTGGAATGTTTTTCCTTGGGTCTTTTGTTTTCGTCTGTGCTGTTTGATGATTAGTACATTTTTGTTAATCTTATTTCCGGCGGGTAGCTTACTATTCTTTGGGGACCCTTTTAGTCTTAGAGCAGCTGCCTGATGGTGGCCTGAAGTGTCCGATCTCCGTTAGTTATGAACTGAATTGCATGAAATTCAATATGGGTCTCAGATGGCTCGAGGGACGTGCTATCTTCTGTGTTAGTCGAACCGTCCTCCAAATCCTGTAAACGTTTCGATTTGTTGGACGTCTCCGGATTCGAGGTAGGTGATACGGCGGCAGGCTGTTGAAAAACTGTATCCCCGATTTTCTTGACGTGGCTTATTTTCAACCGTTTTAAGATTGATCTGTTTAGATTTTCCACTTCCCCATTGGCCTGCGGCCAATAAGGAGTTGTGTGAATAATCTCAATATTGCTTCCCTCACAAAACAAGTGAAACTCCTTACTTGCGAACTGGGGCCCGTTGTCAGCTCGTATCGAATTCGGTATTCCAAGTCGAGAAAACATTTCCTGTAGATGCGCGATAATGGTGGCTGCCGTAGAAGACTTGAGAAATTTTATTTCTTGGTAGCGCGAAAAATAATCAATCACAACCAGTATCTCTTCAGGTATAGGACCAGCCTTCATCAAATCGATGGCAATATGTTGCCACGGCCCGTTCGGGAACTTATGTCTAGTCATTGGTGGAGGGCGACTTGGTTTGGACATTAGGAGACAATCCAAGCAAGTTTTTACCATTTTCTCAGCTTCTCGATCAATTTGTGGCCACCACACTTTTGCCCGTAATCGTCGTTTCAAGCTGTTTTTTTTTTTTTTTTTTTTAATATTTTTTATAATACGCAATGCCAAAAGTTGAATCGAATCGATTCAAAATTCACAGTGCCCTTTTCGCATCTCGACCATTTATACACCGAATTGCAAACAAAGTATTTAAATGAAAT